GTTGTTTTCTTTTTTTACTACAGTTGAGCAGTTGTGCTGTGTACAAAAAATGGTCCGAACCTTCGCTAGTTTTCCAGTGACTTTCCGCAACAGCCGAAACAGTGTAGAGTGAAGGTAGGTATTAAAATGTATAATTCATGCGACTATCAATCCATTGTGCTTGAATCAATTTAAAAATAAATCTGGCACCTTGTCTGGTACCAGATTATTCGCCTAAAACGTCCACACAAAACGATGCTTTCTAGCAAAATTATATCAAGAATGAAAACTTGAGTTCCTGATGCTGATTCAATCATTCTTGAGTAATTTTGGTGTTTTTGATTTTGCTCAATTATTTTTTTTTTTTTTTACACAACTAGACAGAAACAGCCAAACTGCTCGGCTAAAGGGCCACAGGATATTAACGGTAAACAGTGATGTATGACTGGTGGCACTGCGCTGCGTGAAAGTAGCTTGAACTCGATGTAATACTGTTATAAAACCAAAAAAAAGAAAAAAAAACAAAGCACAAAAGCATCGTCATGTAGCTGCAGCCGCTGTCCACACCGGAGCTCACAGTAAAAACTAACCATTCTTTTGTAGTTCAAGTTTCGATCCAAAGCTTTTTGTTTGGCAATGCTTTTTTTTTTTAATATCAGCTGGCTTTATCTTAAGTTTCCTATGAATAATACAACTTCCAAAAAAAAAAAAAAGTAGTGTCATCGACCATGAATAAACAATGATTAAAATCTGAAGATAAAATATGTAGTTTTTCTTTTCTCTTCTTTTAGTACAAAAGGTTTTTTTGTTTTTTTTTCTTCTTCTTCTTCTTCTTCTCTCCTTAAAAGATAGACTGTATATTATTAGCAGAATAGGACTCGGCTAGTTCTGATAGATTAGAGGTACATGGACATCAATACTGACACTACGCCTGCTCTACATGCAGGCTCAGCAGTAAGAGCTAATCCACTACACACAGAATACACACAGTACACCTGACGTCGTCTACATTACGCTACAAGAAAAATGACAAATCAAAAACAAAAAAAAATCAACCCCGCCCTCCCCCGACCTGCAAAAAAAAAAAAAAAAAACCACACCAACCTGCCCCCAAAAAGTAAAAGCAAAGAGAAACAAACACACACAGTCCGATTATATAGTTGTTTTTTTTTTCTTTACATTACTGTACAACGGGAGGAAGAGATGCAGGGCCAGCAGAGATGGCGAAGGGGGGGGTTGGGATGTATAGAGCATGAGTAGCGTGGTGGCTGAGCTTCACTTACAGCGAACATGAACACACGAGAGATCGCGAACGGGACGCGGTCCGAGCTACGAGCTGTCCCATTAGAGAGTTCACCTCCATCCTAATGTTTCTAGATCAAACGGTGGTGAGGATGTGTTGTGTCAGAAAGCACCTGGTTTTGCAGTAATTTCAGTAAAAATCAACACAGTTACTCGTGGTGTGAGCGGTTTAAGGAATGAACCAGAAGATCAACGCGGACTACCAACAACATCTACTGGGTTCTATCATGCTTCCTGTTAATAACCTGGGTAGAAACGTGTGCTCGCTTCAGAACTACGATTACCCATTGAGCTCCTGTGCTTTGACTCTGACCCCTTCTCATTCGCAGCTACACCTCTGTTGTGCCTTTGCTACCCTGAGTGTTAGCGTTGCTCCATCTTGTGGCTCACTGGAGCGACTGCACTGTTAACAAACCACTGTGCTCTAAAGACATGATTGTGGGGAGTAGGGGGCGAGAGAGGAGGATGAATACGTGCTGTGCATGTCCAAAAGCATCGGACGCATATAAATTCTTAACAGAATCGTTCACCGTTCCAGGGGGATATGAGTTTTTGCTTTCTTGCAGAGAGTCAGACGGGAGGATTGCTACCATTTCCATGTTTGTCTGCGAATTACCAAACGACAGGTAGCTTAGCTTAGAAACCGCAAACCTGGATCAGTCCAAAACTCGCCTACCAGCACAGCGAAGTAAGAGAAGTAAAAGTAAACAATTTGCTGAGTTGACAACTAGCAGGTTATTTTGAAGTGCGGATTAAACTAAGAGTATGTTGGATGGTGAGCCGTACAGGTTCTGGTAGGTGGATTGTTCACCTGTGGACTAGTCTGACTCACCAGATGTAGACTTCAGGTGTAAGTCTGCCAATTCTGGTGCACCTTTTACGTCAATCATCAACGACCTCTGAGGTAACAACTTGCACACTAAACATGTTTTGCAGTGGATTTGGATCCTGCACTAACACAGTCCTTCTTGGTTCTTCTGGTGAATTGTCCATTTTAAAGACAGTTTTTGTACCTTTGCATGAAAAGGTTCCACCAAAACAATTCCCTGAAGCACTATTTTGCAGCTGCACCATTGCTGCGCTTAGCACCACCCAAGACAATTGTGATTTATTTATTTTTCGGTTCCTTCCCACTGTTGCAGACTGTTTGCGGACTGCTGAAGCTTATAGGGAATCCCAATGTTTTGGATTGTTGGGTGTTTCTGCCTTTGTTAAGCGCTGTGAGATGACTTGTTGTTGTAAATATGCGCTATACAAATAAAATTGAATTGAACTGAATTGAATTGATTGGCTTCGAAAAACCAGAAACACGCCAGAAAGATAATGAAGCCAGACCATTCTTCAGCATCCACGCATTTGTGGAGATGGGTCTGGCCAATCAGCACCTTTAGACCAAGCCAGGCATGCTGGTCTCAACTGTTTCCAGCTTTTATGCTGAGCTACGCTAACTGTAGCTTGCAATCTTCCCATCTGACTCCAAGCACGAAAGTGAAAAACACCTCTACGTATAAATACGCCGCCTACAACATGGTATTTTGTGCATTATGTTCGTATATTGGATGCTCACACTAGCATCACAACCCTTTAGTCATACAAGCCGATGATTTGACATCTTGCAAAAAAGAGCCAGAGCTGATGCAATCCCCAAAAATCCTCCCTGCCTGTGCAGTTAAAAGCATCTTTCTACCACCTGACAAAGCATCTGAGGATGAAAACAACAAGAGAAACACCGAAAGTCAAAAAACCCCAAAAAGTCTGCCCATGTGCTTGTTCTGCCTTCAGACCACCATAAACCACCACACCACTACTACCACCACCACACTGTACTGGACGCCTTCCAGTCAGACGCTCTCGGGGGGGAAACCCAACCCTGCATGCTAAAGAGAGGCCTCTCTATTGTACCGCACCCTCCGACGAAACAACAACAAATCAAGTCACGGATGAGGAATGGTAAACATGGTTAATTAGGATTCTTTAGTTTTTATTTTTTGTACAAAATAAACATATGCTGTCTTTATTATTATTTACTACGTTACTTTACAATAATGAGAGGTAAAAAGGAGACGTCTACTGAGAGAACGATACTATGCAGCTACATTTAAAACTACATAATACATTGAAGAGTTTTTTTTTTATTTATTATTATTATTTATTCTGTTTTCTTCTGGAAACAAGCAGCATCTCTCTGCTTTTCTGTCTCTCCGTCGGTTACAGCACGGCTTGGCTCAGAGCTTTAAAACAAGTGTCTGTAAATACATTAAAGGTTCCACTGACTGTGAGAGGCTGACAAGCAGATCAGCCTCTGAGATACATGTGTTACCAAAAACATGTGCAGGACTCAGGTAACGTAGGTAATGTTTTTGGTAACATGCCTGAAATGGGGCAGATTGCTACGACCCACGAGAGACACACCGACTACGACACAACGTATGATCCTTTTTTCCAGCTCGGATTCACCTTCGCAAGACCACATCCCAAGATGCACTTCACTCAAAAAAGAATGCCCGGAAGACTTAAGAAGAGATGGCACTTCTAAATTACGGAGTTGCATCCACCTGTGTTTTGTGTGTGTGTGTGTGTGTGTGTGTAGGTGTTTTTGTATCGAGGAAAGTTAGGTGGTTTCAGTCCCTATAATCTAAACTGGCAAAGTTTCGCAAAGTTCACCTTCACTTGGACCCTGAGAAACGGGCGCTGGGACCTCCTCTGTCAGAAACAAATACGCTTTGTGTGTGTGTGTGGATGTAGATGCAGAGAGAGTTACAGTACAGTTCACTGTCTCTCTGCTGAGTTTAAGCAGCTTTAGTGGAACAAAAAAAAGTTACTAATGGAGGAAAATTTCCACAGAAAATCAGCCCTAAGTGTCAGTAGCCATCTCGGGTGTTGTTGTTAAATATTTGTGCTCTGTAGAATATTTTTTTTTCTTTAATTTTTGTAAAGAAGAAGCAGCATAAAAAAAAACAACAGGCTTAGTCTTAAGCTGAGATCAACTATGGTTGAGGTCACTGTGTGCTGTAAATATACAGAGTGTATGAGTGTGAATGAGTGTGTCCGTCCGTCTCTTTTCCCGGCTACAGAATAGAGCTTATTTCCATCTTGTAGCCTCCATCAGACTGTAAATGGCCAGTACAGGCACAGTTTACCCTCCTCCTCTTACAGCACCACTACAAGTCTCCAGCTGTCAGATCGCTGCCGCTACTAAGTCGCCCATCCCGAACAGAACCAGCTAACAGAATAAAGGAGAACAGTGTGTGTCTCTATGCTGCTGCATGCACAAAACAAACACATGCAGCTTCACAATCTACCGTACCTCTAACTGCATATGAAGATGACATATACAAGTTTTACAAAAAATGAAAGGAAAAAACAAACTGCATTATTAAATTATGTGGAACAAATTAACAACCCACCCACCCGCACACACTAACATACACACATTTCTTTTGGATGATGACCCAATTTTTTCTTTCCTTTCGTGTTTTTTTTTTTTTTGTTTTTTTGTTTTCTTCGTTTATCTAGAGACAACACACAGATAGATAGAAGAGGTTAGGATAGATATAATAAGCCCTTACAATATGTAAAGGTCTCCAGCGAATGGGATCTCCCCCACAGAGGACTGTGGGAAAGTGGGGCGAGGATGGAGGAGAAGGGAGGAAAAGGGAGGAAGAGAAGGAGGAGACGGTGGGGCGGTGCCCGGTGGCGCTGACAGAGCGTGGTGCTGTCTATGCGCTGGGGTTGGGGTTGTTGTGTGTGTTGGTGGAGCCGTTGCTTCCCTGGATGGTGAGGCTGATCTCATCCTTCCTCTCCTTCTCCTTCTCCTTCTCTTCCTCCTTCTGCTCTTCCTTCAGCTCCTCCTTCTCCTTTAGGGGACGGGCCTCCACAGTGTCTTCAGAGGCCATGGGGGCGTAGCGGCCTGTCCGGTGCTCCTGCAGGGCAGGGCCCCACTTTGGATGCGATCGGCATGCGTACTTCAACCTCTGAGACGGGAAGAGACAGAGGGACAGAAGCAGAAACTTCAGGACGAGTCATTTCAACAGGTTCAAACATGAGAATAACAGAAAGAAACACGTGAATTCTTTAAATGACATTTGAAATGCTTTACATTTCTTAAACTAAAATGCTCACAATGTTTTTACTCCTTCACTTTATCTGGCATTTCAACAGCTGTCATTACATATTCCTCAAATGACATCTTAACCCTCAGAATCTTCAGCACTTTTTCTGTGTTTTCTTCTTCCTGTTTATTCTTAACTGTCGGCTCATTTTTCACTGTATGTAATGCTGAGATGTAAACAACACAACTTCTGGTAAAAGTACAGAGAAGTAACCAAAGTATTGTGTCATAAATCACAAAAACAGAAAATAGAAAAGTTTAATTTCTTTATCTATTTAGTGGAAGAAAAAACTGTACAACATTTTTCCCAGTGTCCCCGGGTGTTACTTCAACGTCACTACTGACATTTGTAAATAGTTTCCATCCTTGTTCCCTCTCTGCTCTGTGTAAACACAGCCTGAAGTTCAACCCAGTGCAGGAGAACAGTCATGTTTTGTCATGTGTCTGGCAGAAATGGCCGTGAGAAAGTTGAAAATCAGATGGTTCTCTTCTTCTTCTTTTTACAGCTAAAAGTTCTAAATCATGTGTAAATGAGTTGTTTTTTGGTGCCTGTGGTCTCTCTGATTGGTGGAAACTTATCAATTACTCGCTTCATGCTGTGATTGGCCAGCTGAGAATGTAAGCGGAGCAAGTTAGATTTCTGCTGGATCAGACAGCATATCTCATAAGTCACACAGTTAATTTTCGTCACCATCCAGGAAACCACCAGACTCCATTTAAATAAATAGTTATTTTACCTTACAGAAAACAAGAGCTACTGGTCTGTCGTTGCCTCCACTGATCAGTTTACTTGTGTTATTGTGTCACTTTGGTGCTTCAACATGCTAATAAGGATCTGAACTAATGTGTTAAAACACCAAAGATACACAATTACAGATCTGAAACTCCTGTGTTCTGTGAATTAAAATGAATGTTTTTGTTAAGGGAGTCTGGCGGCTGTAAAGAGAGCGTGTGTGACGCCACAGAAACACAATTAAATATATTCTAAACATCGTGTACACTTTCACTGATATGCATTTTTTTTTTTTTTTTTTTTTTTTAAACTGGTGGTTAAAATTCTTTTCTGCTGCTGCTCCCATCCACAGCAGTACACTGCTTGGCTTCCATGCTGGTCCTCCTGTCTGCTTCTTCAAACTAGCGGCCGGCTGTCTGTCATCTATTGTCGGTAATACCGCTGACTGCAGGTAATCACTGCTGACAACCCCACTTCAAAGAAACCACACCAGCCCTTCACTAACCAGTTCTGAGAGTCCACAATGCGGCGCTTGCATTTCATCTGGCAGTTCAAGTGCTCTAAGCATCAGTTCACAGTAATTTCTACCATTACAACTAATTTAAAATAATCTAAAATACTTGAAGTGATATGTAGACGTTGGTCCTGGTTCAGACATCAGCTGACAGTTCAACTGCTGTTAGAACTTAAACACAGGAATGCAAACTGGTAGTTCAATCATCTGAAGGACTTCAAACACATTTTTATCTGCTGTCAGCAAATGTCCTCCAGCTGATACACGCTTCAGAGCTTCTCTAAACTCTGTTGATGTTAAAGCTTTGATTAACTTAATTGTTGGCATCCAAGAGTTGCACTTGATATTAACATGTTTACGTACTGACCTTATTTTAATGCGTGTTCCTCAGAGACATGTTCAGCCTTTGTAGCTGTAGCATTGTGAATTGTAGCACTTGCTGTTTATATCAGCTGTGTTTTAGAACAGAAATGCTCTAGAGGCATGTTGGGGAGGGTCGTACCTCTCTAAAGGTGGCTCCTGGGGACCTGGAGATCTTGTAGAGGGCGTAGACCGGTATGCAGACCACTGAGGACAGAGCCATGGCAAAGCCGATAGCCAAGGACCAGCCGGGATACACGTAGTCATTGTAGGTGATGGGCTTGTACTGGATCACAGTGAAGATCAGGATGAACTGCAGGGACACAAGAGTTAACAACATTTTACTCAACACTTTCCTACTTTATGTACACACACACACACACACTTGCAATGCAAAATTGAAACGATTTTCCGAACTGATTGTTGGCATCATTATCAACCAATAATCCAATAATCATTAACGAGAATGACTGGCAGAGGACATTATTTTATTCGCTAATCATTTAATTTGACCACAGAGTCATGACATCTGTGGTAACAAATAATTGGATTACATCAGCCAATGATTGTTAAAAAGCTTTCCTAAAAAAAATGAAGTGAGTTCTGGTCAGAGGTCATGAAACACCACAGAAATCGTTGTCATGGTGGCGGCTGGGGCTCAGGTGGTAGAGCGAGTCGGTCGATGATTGGTTCGATTCCGCCCTGTAATCTGTTTTATGGACGTTGTGTCCTTTGGCAAGACACTTCACCCACCTTGCCCGGTGTGAATGCATATGAATGGATTGTTTGAGGTGGTGGTCGGAGGGGCAGAATGGCAGCCACGCCTCTGTCAGTCTGCCCCAGGACAGCTGTGGCTACAATGGTAGCTACCACCACCAGAATGAATGTGTGTGAATGAATAATTGACAGTGTATCTTTGAGTGTCTAGAAAAGCTTTATATAAATCTGATCAATTATTATTATTATGGTGGCCCATTGATAGCTACAGCACCATAATGCTCCCTGCTTGCCAATGCGAACTGTCAAAGTCTGAGCGACTACGTCCTCAGGTTGCTACAGGATCAAACAGTAAGAGCCTCCACCTGGTGGAAAAATCAGGTACTACAGCTCATCTACAATTCTGCAAAGATGTCTTTTTTTTCGTCTTTTGCTTCAGTTGTTGATATATTTTTAATCTGTTATGTATTATGTATGCATAAAAGGAAAAAAAAACATAAGATCCAGTGTATTTTACTCAACAATTTCTTAAACAAATAGGTAAAACACACAATGATACACAACAGAAGAAAGTCATCTCAGTCCAGGTGAAATCAGCATCGACAGCAGCACTCCAAATCGTTTTTATTTAAAAGTTGCAGATAATTAGGATCATAAATCCTCCCAATCCAACAGCAGAGAGTTTAGTCACAGTTCTAGCAGAGGCCCTGGAGGGCAGAGCATTAGTCTGTGTAGTGAAATGAAAAGGGGAACAAAAGTGCCTGAAATCTGACCAGTAATCCACAACAATGAATTTCTTGGTTGGCTCAGCAGCTTAGTGGACTAATACGCCTGCTTGGGAAATACCATTGATAGCAGCTGCATGTGTCCGTTTCCCAGTCAGAAAGATTTGCTTTTAGAGGTTTATACAGGAAACAAAGCCAACAGTAGCCAAACAGATTAGCACTGATGGCAGCTCAAATGTAGGTCAGGTCCCTAACAATGTGTCAGCAACACAGGAAAGTTGAGAACCGTCCACTCAACATCCTCCTTCAATTTACTGAACCAATAAAATCCGTCTTCAGTTTTTCAGGAGAAAACACTTTCAATGATGACGACAGATTCAATCACTAGAATTGGTCCCAGATCAGCAGGTGTGTTCACTTACAGAGATAATGACGGGGGAGATGAATCTCCAGCAGACTTTGAAGAAGAGAGGAGGAGGGAAGCCCAACATCATCTCGACATCTTTGAAGTAGTTCCTGTGACCTGCAACGGAACAAAGTGTTAGAATCTATGGTCAAAATCTAGGTTTTCTGCATTTAATCCAAACTGAAGATGATCATGATTTAATGACATGGTTCCACATGTTTGTTCAAAACCCGACAGTGTTCCAAATAACTTGTCAGTCTTAAAAGGTAAACGCTCAGTGGGGCTGAGGTCAGGTGACTGTGGAGGGAAGTCCATGACAGTCAGCTCTTCCTGGGACTCTTCCAGTTAAAGCTCTGAGGTGTGTTTGGGTTCATTATCCTGCTGCAGTGTGAATTCTTCTCCATAAAGATGTAAACCAGATAAACTGCTGCTTCTCCTTAGTCAATGTGGAGTCCTTTCAGTGCAACTCTAAAGGTGCAAAACATGCTCAGACTTCTTTATTTTAAATGTCAGGACGGCTTCTATTTTTAAATATTTCTCAATCCTCAGAGGTTTATATGTGACAGATGTTCAATGTGCCTCCACACATGCACTTGTTGCATCTTGTGTCAGCTATGTCACAACTGGAGGTGTACTATAAATATTTAAAAAAGATAACCTGTGCGTGATATAGACATAAAACGTACAGTATAATAGGTTCCTAGACATGGACTAACATCTGATCACATTATCGGATATTCCTTTATATTTAACCGACTGATTATCTAGAAGCTAACGGCCAGCAGCACTCACAGGCAGCAGGCTGATGTGAACAGCTTTTAACATTCAGAGCTGCAGAAATCATAGCCTTGGGTCGACCTGTTCAGCCTGCCTTTGGTAGAAAAAAAATCAGTATTTCTGCCTCCTGTACAATGAAATTTCCTTTCCTTCCATTATTGTTTAATGTGGCTGTACAACGGTGAGCTCACAATGAAGCTCATATTCTTTTGATTCAAAGAAGGTAAACCTTCCATGAAACAACTGTAAAATGAAAGTACTGACAAGATAAGGAAAACTCTCGTCCTCCTTTAATGACCTTATTTTTTATTCTTTACACGTCTGCAGCTCTGTTTTTTTTTTTTCTCTCGCTTCAGTCAGACAGACTGATATTTACCACTGATGTTTTGCTGACTGCCGAATCTCTCAGTGGAATCGTTAAGTTGATAAGATAAGAAAAGTAGCCAGAAATAAAAACCCCAAACTGTCTTTGTAGAGCAGCGTGTTCAGTCGATTTCCTTCCTTACCATAAATATACATGATGCAGATGCACATGATGCAAGAGATGATGACCAAAGAGAAGCTAGCAGCGTAGTTGTCCATCAGCAGCAGCCAATAGATTCCTGCCTGCACACAAAAACAGGGAACGAGTGAAAAACCAGCTGAAGACAGGTTCAAAGACATGCTCGACAACATGTCTGGGATTTACCTGTGTTGTAAGTGGCACTCCCAGTAGGAAACCGACTATGGCTACTGACAACGTGACTACAGTCTTGTTCCTGATGATCCAGTCTGTGCCGATCTCGTCCACAATGGCCGTCACCAGGGTCTCAAGCAGGCAGAACTAAGAGAACGGAGAGGAAAGGTTTAGGATTCAAATGAGAGATGAGACTGGACATAATGAGAACAGTCCAAGAGGAGTCATGTGATTTTTGGTTCTACCATTGTTCCTCTGAAGCATAATTAAAGCAGAATAACATCACTTAAAGTACAAAGTCTAATAGATTAGTAAAAAAATAGTTCTTCTTCTGCTTCAAATATCCAATATATTTGTATTCCTTTTAGCATAATTCAAATATAAATACTTTACTACAACATACATATTTATCCACTGTGTAAAATGGACCAAAAGTCTTCCTCTCATTTACAGCCGTTCTAAAGCCTTTGTTAAACCACCCTGCTCACACGTTGTTGTCGTCTTCCTGGCTATATGTTTGCCATCCTATCTTAGCATGAACATAATCAGTAAATTCATTTTTACTCAAAACTACAAATGTCAACCTCATGGTGGCGCTAGAGGAAAACTCAGAGGATCACCAGTGTCAGTGCACAGACACGGCACAACACTTTGACCATTCACAACATCTGCGGATCCAGATCGGCTCTAATCCGGAGTTCCTGAGGCACGCGGGTCAACTCAGGTCTCACTCTAAGGCGTTCACTTGGCCCATTTATAGCATCAGCGTGGAGGTTTGGGCAACAAACACAGCATTCAGTTCTATTCAAGATGACCTTTGTTCATCATTTTTCAGACGAATTGATAGCAGGAAGGTAAACTGGAAATCAAATGCTCCAGTCACAAACATGAGAACACACAATTTATGCAGTGCGTCTATAAGCTCTATTTGCACAGTACAAGTATTACCTGGAGACCTCTAGTAATTTGTAATAATTGCTTCATCCTGTGCAAATTTGTCATGTCCATTAATTTGTAACATTTACAACTACAAATGCCCTACCAGATTTCAGATCAAAATGTTTTTTATCTCTAATTTCTGCCTCTTTCCTGTTCGACTTTCTCATAGACTGCCCTACAACTTCATGATCCTCCTGTTCCAAAGCATAGAGACACATTAGTCACCTGAGTCCCCAGTCCCAGAAGGATGAGCATGAAGAAGAACAGCAGCGACCAGAGCGGCGAGATGGGGAGCAGAGTGAGGGCTTCTGGGTAGGCCACAAAGGCCAGTCCTGGGCCGTGGTCGGCCACCTCAGACACGGGGACGTTCAGGTGGTGCGCCATGAAGCCCAGGATGGAGAAAATGACAAAACCGGCGTACACGCTGGTCGCACAGTTGGTTATACTGATGATGATGCTGTCTCTGTACGTAGAAAAGAGAAGAACAAACGTGTTGCTGATTCATTAAACCGCGAGACAACAAAATAAGCGGCATTTACAATATGAAACCAAATACATCACTAGAAACACATCATGTCTTTTTGCTACCATGATTAACTGCATACATGTAAAATGACAGGACAGTTTTTACATTTATGAACTGGTGAAGTGTGGTCCTGGTACTTCATCCACTCATACCAGCAATAAAATGTACTTCAATTTCTATGTCTCAAGTTCAACTATGACTGAACGTGTCTACAGTTTGTAAATCTATGAAATAAATGTTGACCATATCATCCAAGTGAGGCAGAACTTTGGTGTCAAGTCCAGGGAAAGTGGAACGAAGCTCTTTTTCTATTTAAAGTACTAATGTGGTTTAGAACCACAGATATAGCTACAGTTTGTTTGGACTCTCAGAAAATACACAACCTGTGCAAGCCAACATTTCATAAAATAGAAAATGAAACGTAAAAAATAGCTTTGTTAGTATAAGACCGCTGTTTCAAGTTTCCTGCTGCAGAGAATCAGAGAAGCTTCAGCTTATGATCTTTAACTCTGTCTCTGATTCAAGTTGCTGAAATGTGAGTCTGTTCGCAGTATTTTTCTGCTTTGGACTCTTGTTGTCCTTATTCTGACAGCTGACTGGTTTCAGACTGCTGGAAGATGCTCGCAGAACCTCTTTTCATCTTTACTCTCTCTGACTCAGACTTGGACTTTGTTCGGATTTAACAAGGGAATCGTGCGGTTACACAGCGCTTTGTTTCCTCACATTTCCTGTTAGGGTTATCACAGAGGTTGTCTTTGATGACTTTGATGCCAGTCCGTTTCTCACCCGTGAGGCTCCTGCTCTCTCCTGCACTTTGCACATCTGCATGTGCACCAATCGGAGGTGTAACAGCAGAGCAGAGAGCGTCTCCACAGGGACAGAGCTGCAGAACACAAGCTGATTAGGGTCGCCGTGCAGCTGTCTGCACAGATAGGACAACCTCAAGCTCCTGGCAGAGGAACAAATTATATCTTCAGCCTTTTCCCCTTGCCCCCTCCAAACCCCCCTGACGCCGTCATCCTGTCGGCATGTGTGGACAAGTAAGAATAAATGACATCTTTTCCTCTCTTTATCTCCTTCTCGGTCCCCTTTCCTCCATCTTAACCTTCTCCTCGGCTTCTTGCTCGCTCCATCAGCCTTTTAACACACGTCCAGAAAGGCATTATCTCTGTGACTCCTCCTGTCCAACCTTATCTCACCTTCTCCTCCTTCTCTTTTAAGACCTATAGCCTTGAAGTTGGCTCCTGACTATTTTACTCTGCTCCTCTCACTTTCTCCATCACTCCTTCACCTTTCTTTGTGCCCTCTTAAGGACGTTAGTTATTGACAATGACATCAGTGAGCACTCTGAGGACTTTGGCCACAGTAGCCACGATTTTAAAAAAAAATGTACCACATATAAAATTTTAAATTGCTTTTTTCTCTTGTTGTAAGAGTTTCACCTCATAGTGTCGGGATATGTGCATTTTTTTTCTAACCAGGACTTCAATATCCTTTAAATATGGCACAACAGCCAGCCACCCATTAGCTTGACTTGTCACAGATAATAAAAGCAGGGAGAAGCAGCCACCCTGGTAATAAAATATGCCTGCCAGAACCTCTACATCTCACTAGAAGGGCTGTCACAACATCAGATTTTCACTACATGATTCTTCTCCTGGCCTAAAAGATTAATCCGTTTGCTATACCCCTATATCGAGTGGAGGGCTATGGGAAGGTTGGAGGTTACCTCAGCTGACAGAAAACAAGACTGACATCACAACAGAAAGACAGACAACGGTGAACACGCACTGTCACACCTACAGCCAGTTTACAACCATCAATCAACCTAATATGCATGTTTTTGGACTGTGGAAGGAAGGTGGAAAACCACACAGGCACTTGGAGTTCAAACTCTTCTAAGAAAGGTCCCAGCTGACCATCAGGTTTGAACCCAGGGCCTTCTGCCTGTGACGGGACAGTAATACACCTTCATCCATGACAACAATATTATGGCGATATTTTAAAGCCTTTTTAAGTCTCTGCTAGTTGTGTGGGAGTGATTTAGTCCTAACATGACACCCATGAAGCCACAACTTGTTGGTCCCCCAGTATTTGTAAGTGGGGTTTAGAGGTTCTGGTAGGTGGATTTTAGTACCTTTAGACAGGGTACTAACCCAGCTCGCTGGTTGACCTTTTCTAGTCTTAATACGAAGCTCAACTAATGGCCCCATTGCTCCAGCTGCATATATAAGGCATTGGGTACCATATCTTGTTAAGACTGGCAATTTAGCCATTTCTGGGTTCAAACGCTTCTTCAGATTCCAAAAGCAAACAAACAGTGAGGCCCCCCTGAGGGTTAAAATGGTCTAAATGCTTTCAGATGCTTTTGAGTTACTAGTGTGATTATTCTATGGGGTGGTATCAAGAGGAAAGTCCAAGCATCAGTAAAAACAAGGGATTTAAGAGGATGACGGCAGTTGGGAGTTAGCAGTTAGCTAGTTGGAATGTAAAGATGACATGTCATGTTCTGGCTGAGGTTTTCCTCCAAAAAGAAAAAATATATATAAACGTTCAGAACAGATGCAACTTTGGTGATAAAGATGAAAACGTATGAAGCAATCAGGTTTTGGAGGGTTTGTGAAGTAAGGATAGTTAACACGATGACGTCCACTCCTTGGTAAGCTACTGAATGTATTATGAGGCGAAAATAAACACAGCACTGGCAGTGTCTTCTAGAAGTGTTTGGGTTAAAGTGTTTTCACTAAAGATGCACAATGAGGATCAGCAACTGCGAACACCCGATCTGCAGAGATAGTTACCATCATAAGACGGGATCTAAAAAGGACGAAATTGCAGCCAGACTGTCATCCACAACACAAAGTTAGGAATTAACTGATGTTGATGTGAATGATGTGAATTATTCGCAACTGAAAAATCTTATTCTGAACTTCAGATCTAAATACTAACATGTCAGTTGATCAGACATTCATATTCAATTCATCGTTTCTGACGGTTGAGCTGTCCAAGTTTTTAAGAGCTTAGTTTAAAAGTGAGCTACTAATGAATGGTCCTAATTAAAGGATGTGCGGTGGCAGATTAACAATTGCCTGAGTCTTTTTGGACTCAGATCTATGCAAACAGCAAGGGACACAGCACTGCAGCATGCTGAAGAAATGAGAGCCTCAGTCAATGCAGCACAGGTTTGAACTGAGAAAGAGTATTATCAGAAAGTCCTAACAAGCCGATACTTGAAGGCATAGTTTGCTTTGTGTTTATCTATAGTCTGGGAGTACCGACCTGAAACAGTTGTTGTGGAACTTGTTATAAGAAGCCATGGTAATGAGACCACCCCAGGCACAACCCAGGGAGTAGAAGATTTGTGAGGCAGCGTCTCCCCACACCTACAAAACAAACCCACAGAGAGTCAGAAGTAGCACAAAGACGGAAAAAAAAAGAATCTATTTCCAGTTTATCTCCTCATCTTTCTGCTAATATAAGTGCGTACCTTTGCATCGAGGACCTTCTGCCACTGTGGAGTCAGGTAGTACTTGATGCCGTTGATGGCTCCATCCAGGGTGATGCCACGGATGAACAGGATGGTCAAAACAACGTACGGGAACGTGGCTGTGAAGTACACCACCTGGACCACACATGCAGGTGGAATGAGTCAGTCAAACCTGGGTGTATGAGGATCGATGTGTGTGTGTGTGTGTGTGTGTGTGAGGCTGACCTTTCCAGAGGATTTAACACCCCTGATGAGACAGAGAAAGACGACTACCCAGGAAACAGCCAGGCAGCCCAGAATAGGGAGACGGACCTCGCCGAAGTTCCCAATATCATCAGAGATGTTCAACACATAGTGTCTGAGAGAGACAGAAAGAAAAACAATTTCAATATTTTACATTTACAGCTGTGGCTGAAGTTGTTTTTCTTCTTCAAGAGAAGAAAACTTGCAGCTTTACACTTTTACAACTCAGCAAACAGCCGGTTCTTCAGCAGATAGAAGATAGACTACGTTTTGAAGGGCATCTAAACTTTGAACCTGTCAAAATGCAGTAATTACTTACAGGAACAACAAAACAAATCCACTTCTTCTTTGTAGCATTATTACTCTGCAGTATTATAATTGGTACCTGTAACAGGTATTTTGAATGTGTCCTACCACAGTAAAGATTAGAGGGATTATGTATCCCTTCTGGTCTGGGAACACCAGAAGGAAAACACCATCTGGAAAAATATGGTCTGCACACTAGTATAGAGAACATTTATTACAACCTTAAGGTAACATTTTGTGCATAAATGCTCTTCTT